TTAATTTTTTTAATTTTTTTTTTTCCTCAGGGGATCAAACTACCTAGAATCTCCTATTGGTCACTTGGAAAGCTATGGAGCACCAAATTTATACCAGGCTCCTAGACAGCTGGTGGGCTTACCGGAGAATACTGTGATGCTTGATGAAATGACCCTTCGGCACATGGTCCAAGACTGCACAGCTGTAAAAACTCAGTTATTGAAACTGAAGAGATTACTGCACCAGGTGAGCTGTTTAAATGGAACAAAAGCAGTAAAGCATACTGGAGAGTGAGCCTACATGAGCTGGTGTTCTTTTTGGCTTACTAGGTTATTGTCATTTCCTTTATACATTGAATTACAGTGTTCAAGAAAATGTGCATTTTTTTAATACCTATTTACAATAGTGCTTTTTCTGCTTTTTCAGCACTTTACTGACTGCAGAAAATATTAAATATTGTTATTCTGCTCCTCTGAGTATATAATACGAACTTCAAAAAAAAATCAGTGGATGTGAAGACCATCTTTTATTTAATAACATCTTTAAAAGCTGGGAGTAAAAAAAAATAAAATATTAAAAAGTATTAAAATCAATCCCATTGATCAAACTTAACATTCAGCAAGTCGATGCTAATAGCCTTTTCTTAAGGCTTTGTTTTTCTCATTCTTTTCATCTTCTCTGTGTGTTTTGACAATAATCTTTGCAAATCCTATGGGGCATCTCTATTGGAAGTGCTCAAATTTAACCTTTGTAGTATATGAAATCACTGAATTGTTATAAGCTTTTAAGGAGCATTTTCATTTCACCTCACAACTTGGCAAATTGCTGGGGCTGGTAAACTGCTGGATGACTGAGCAGAAGTATGGCATTTCATCTACAGAAATTCCTTTGCTAACTTAAAAGAAAGTTCATGAGGCTTGCTTTGGAGACATATACAGATTAGCATGGCAAAGTATCTGTGTGGTGTTCTCTTTAATACTGGTTTTACTGCTGTTCTTTCCTAACAGGATAATGTAATGGGAATAAGTTTGTGCCCTAAAAGTAAGACACTAAAACAAAACACAGCAAACCAAAAAGCAGATCAACCTTTAGGCTAATTCAAGTGTATGACTATGCATTTTAGAAATGTGAGCATTTTCTTCTTATGGCAACTGAGAATACTGGAGGTGTTTTTCCACTGACAAACTCAGAGAGACAATTGTAATGAAAATAATGTAGTGTCAGAGAGGGAAGATATGTTCTTAAAACCTAATGTCTGAGTCGTGCACTGCATAAACTCTGCCTCCCAACAGCCTCAAGCATGCAATTAGTACATGAGATAGCAGGGAACGTTTTATCCAGAGCTTTTAGTGCCTTTAACACAAGGACAATTAAACAACTAGGTAGATGATCTGTGTATGTGTAGTTCATTGTGTAAAGGCATGCATGTTATAGCCAAATAGTATGTGGCCCTACAGAATATTGTATTTTAAATCTTGATCTAGTTTATAATAGCCATACTTTTCTAAAAGGTTACAGAACATAAAACTTGCCTCAAGTAGATCAGGTTAAGGTTTGTTTTTTTTTCAAGGACTTAAACTCACGGAAGAAACCATTACTCCTAATATGTATGTTCTTCAAAATTTGCTGCTTCTCTTGCCAAAGCTTGATCTTCTCTCCCTCCCTCCCTATAATGGCAAGTTTTGTAATAACACGTATTATTCTTCCCTTCAAACTTTCAAGCATACTTCTTTATATTTTCCTGACCTAACTGCACCCTGTTTTGACTTGTTGCTTCCAAAGCTCATCACTGGACTTCTGAATGTTTATTCTAGTCTTCTGTGTGTTATCCAGCCTTTTAATCAAACAATATGTATAGTAAAGTAAAAGTAAATTAACCTGCTACAGAGGGGAAAACTTTATATCTTTACTACTTTTATTTACTAAACAATTAGAGTAAAACTTGTATGAAGCTTTTTTATTAAGTGTTAAACCTTTCCTGAATATATTTAGCTTTATGCTAACAGGAATGAGTGAAAACATTGCAATTCTTTTTTACTTATTTTAAAGAACAGAAATACAATTTTTTAAATAATTACTTGAACTTTAGCAGTCTGCACACTGACTTGATCTTGGTCCAGGTCATACAACAGCCCTCTTTTTACAATTGAAAAAGCAAGATACAAAGTTGGCTCCTTTCAAACACTAGCTTTAATAAAGGAGACAGAAGTTCTTATATTTGCTTCATCTGTATTATACATTTAAATTTGTGTTACCTTTTTCCTGTTGTGACTTTTAGGAATATTCTTCAATTCTGATAGGTAGAAATGGAGCTGTAGTCATGAGGTCTCACAGGAACAGTTATACTAAGATAGTAAGATATGGTTATTAAATTCAATTTTATACAATTATCTAATCAGCTGTAGTGTGGCTTACTGTAGAGCATAGCATATAATGAGTGTATACCTAGCAGATTCCTAGGGAAACTTAATAGGCTATACTGGGTTCGTTGCTGTGACTGTAGCTCACATAAGGGTTTAGTGTTGTGTTCCCAGTTTTGCTTGGAAAAATAAGTAGTTATTTGAGTAATCTAGCCTTTTCTGAACTCCATGTGACCAGGATAACAATGCCAGCAGCACACATGCTATCTATTTACTCCTCACATACTGCCATCTTTCTGTATCTTCAAACAATGAAATCGGGAATAGTAGTCTATCTCTGAGTTTTTTTAGAATTTTCACTGTAGTAAGTATAACCTTCTGATTTTGCAGTAATGTTATACTAGCTTATATGGAGTGAAAAATGTGCGTTCTTCCTGCACTAAATGCAGGTGTAATTATTTACAGGGAGATGTTGAACTACTGGTGAATGTTCTCACTTAATGCTTAACTGGAGCAGTAACTTTGTATTGTAGGAAGAAAATGCTTTGAAATTCTATCTCTAGCAATAATTGACATCTAAATGTTAATGCCTCTTAAACATTGGCTAAGGTACTTCATTTGCATGTTTAATAGTAGTTTTCTTCTGATCTTAAAAATGTCTTTCTTCCTCCTCCTCCTTCACCATTAGTTTCTTAAGCTTCCTGCTGTAGGTTGAGGCTACAGAGCTAATGTGTTAGTACATCCTTATTTAAATAAGAATTGTACTCTTTCTGATGCCCTGGAGCCTTTGATCTAGGCAAGGATTGACCACCCTCTGTAGTAACTTCCTCTCAAGACTGGCAGCAATGATTTGCAACCATGCTGTCTTATTTCAGATAAGCATTTATTGATACTTTAAAGAGGACTGAAACATGAAGCAGTTCACAGAACTGTGAGATCCGTGAAGCCCTTTTTTTCTGTGGGAGGCAAGTTTTATAAAAAATGTTTCTTTCCAATTTACCTTTCATGAATGGAGAAGAAATTCTATTTTTCAAGTACAAATCTTCATTGTAACTTATCAGCTATGACTAGCCCATTTGTATGAAGAGGTATGAATGAAAAAATGAAGTCTGAAGTGCAAAATTGTTAAAGGTGCCAGTGTCTTTTTTGCTGAGACTCTAGATCAGTAAGTCACTTGAGTACCTTTGAAGTAAGCATTCATAGTGTTCTTTTCTTTTTGCATCTGGTGAGATCTGTAAGAGATATTTATCTTTGTTGTAAGAAGCCTGAAGACAAGAAACACATGTAATGAAATACAAAGTTTTATTTGTGTCATGTATGAAGTTGTATAAATTGCACCTACCGTTGTTACTTTTTTTCTTAGCCACAAAATAGTTCACCTTAGTGACTTAACTGTGCTTGAAATAAACAGAACCAAAGAAATCAACAACCAATAGCAAATGAAATTGGCAAATTTTAAGTTTAAACAGTTGGTCAGCTGTTGGACTATCATTATAACAGTATGGAAACTGTATTACAATCATTTGTAACAATATTTGAACTAAACTACGCTCAATAGGACCCTCTACTGATGGATGCTTAATTAATTTTCTGTTTGCATCTTTATAAAATGCTATTAGCAAAGGAGGCTATTCAAATGAGTAATTTGTACTGAAGAAAACTTTGAATTTGGAATCAAAGGCTAGACCTGGATAAAACTTTAACCTTGCTAAACTTTAGAAATGTCTACTTAGTATTTTTCAACTTCTTCATGAGCTATAGATGCTGGAATGTTGAAAGAATTCTCAAAATGAAATTATTAGCTTACTATTAGTACTATATTCTTTTAAAACCCTGTGTGCTAAAAGGGAGCTCAAAGCCCAACAAGCTGTAATCTATAAACTGCTGCTATGTATAATCGACACAGTAGATTAGAAAGGTAATAAGATTTTTTTATTAGGCCATTCTTAACTAAATACTTGTATTTGATATACTTCTTCATAAATAATAGTCTATAATTCAATAAAAATTAATGTTTAGTGTTCTGTTTGCCAAAAGCAATAAATCAGTTCTTTGGGAATTTGTAAGGTAAAGCGAGCACAGTAATTTGTGTCATTCATACTAAAGATTTCACACTAGTAAAATTTTGGCATAAGAATTTAAGTACAGCCACACACAGGTTTCCATGTGTGGCTGTTTGTATTTGAGTGAATTGTGGTGCACCTGTGACAGCCATGGTGGAAGGTTATTCCCATACCCTTTAGCTCATCTTCTTGAGTTTGATTACAAATTACAAAAACTGGCCAAAAACTGAAGTGTACACTGTTGACTTAAGTCCAGCAAAAAATTTCCAGCAAATGTGATTGAGTTGAAAATCAGGTAGCGATTCAAGTGGATGGCTGATACTCCTAGCAACAAGAAAAGGACTGTGAAATGGTCACTGCCAAATTACATGACTGCTTCTTGAGCTTATTCTTGATTAAACATTGCATGCAAATACATATACATGAATTTACATATAAATAAGTTTAAAATAACTTATAACTACTATCCCTACATTAGTTAAATGGGAATATCTGCAACATTAGTCCTGTCAGTTTACATACTTCACGTTAATTTCATGCCTAAATTACCAGTAATATTTAAAATAACTGCAGAGGTTTGCCAGTATGTATTAGATTTGAGTTGTTTGTTGCAATGTTTTAAATTTAGCAAATAGTTGATAATATTTGTAACTATTTTTTCCTTCTAATGCTGCTGTTTTTCAAAAGCAATCTTCTACTAAGGAAATTAGTAGAATGTTTTGTTGCTGCTTATGTTTCCAAGTAGAATTTAATTTTCAACCTATTTTATGAGCATTTGGTTTTGATATGGCTAACAAACTATCCTGAGTTATTGTTTTTTGTAAGCATCTTTTACAGTTGGCACAAACAAGACTAGTCCAACTGCTCTAAAGACATGGTTATATTATAATAAATAATGTATTCCACTATTGGAAAAATGTTAGTCAGGTAAAAACAAAGAGCTAGCAGCTTTTTATATTGCATATTGCAATGTGATGAAAAGCTTTATAAAATTTATCGTAACTTTACCTAAAACTTAATTATATGTTCTCTCCAAGTTTCTGGAATTTGATGGTGTCTTAGCATATAATTTCTAGGCTACCAAAAATAACATCTGCATATAATGAGTACCATTTGTTGTGTTAGTTCTATTGTCTTTTTGCTACTTCTGATCTCTTTTTCGCTTGGGTTTTTTTTTTTTTTTTGTACATGGGTAGCCTTAATTTGATGATTTTTTTTCCCTCTTTCCCCCATCTCATTTTAGCAATATGATGAGCAAGAAAGAAAAAGCAAACCAAGAAAAGTTTCACAGATTAATCCTAGCATATATTCATAAGGGTATGATTAAGTTCCCACTGATAGTGTTAGAACTTAAATTTTTTTTTTGGTTGCACTGTGTTCATTATATGTATTAACATAATTAAGACAGTGGTAAGCAAATTGATGCAAATGAACTTGCTTTGCTGGTGAATATTAGTCAGGTATGGCTAGGGCTGGACTAATCAATTTAGATCACCAGAGAATATGTGACATACTAACTTCCTTTGCAATTAGGTCATAATCTGCTGTTGGAGAATGTTTTATTGCTCCCCATACATGCATTTTAACAGAAATAAAAGGTACACCAGAGGCATCAGTGATAGAGCTTTTAAAAGCCGTGCAAGATACTTTTTGCTTGCAATGGTTTGTTTTGTATTGTGTTTTTCCATTTCCATGATTATTCTTTCACAGTTATAAATGTGACTGTCTGATACACCTTGTCTTCTGATTGCATCTATTTGTTTGAATAGCTGTTGAAAATAGCAAATGTTGATGAAATCTGTTAATTGCTGCTCAATTCCTGTAGCACTTCAGAAAAGTTTTGGATTAAATAGCCTTTGTTTCTTTATTATGTTATTATGCAAAATACTTCAAAACACTGTATTAGAACTTGTTCATAACAGGCTGTAAGCTACTGCTTCATCAGCCTGTCACTGGCTGGTGATCTGCCGAGAAGGGACAAGGAGCTACTTATAAATTGAATACAACTATGTGTTGGACTGTGTAAGCTGAAATATTTGCTGTGTTAAGGGTCACTCACAAGCCTTGAAATTTGACTACTCTCATAAGTAATAGTCACTTCAATAAAAATACAAGAAGTTTAAAGAAATAAAACCACAAACCAACACCAAAAAATGTCAGATGTAAAATTACATCTAGGTGATGGAAATTAAATTTATCCATCTGTAGTATGGTAAAAGCAATTTCGAACTCTATTATAGTTCTTTGTATTTTTATTGTTGTCTGGTTCTGCATATTTTGTCTGCAAGTAATCAGTAACTATAAGAAAAGTAAAAATTCAGTTGTTAAAAGTTCATCAACTTTAATTTTGCGTTCTTTTGCTTTTTTGCATTTGGACAATCTCCTTGATGTTTCTCTGCAGTTTGGTAAACATGTATAAGAAATATTTCTTATGGATTAAAACCCCAAAAAGATACCTCATGGACATAAAGAAGATAAATACATCTATTGTGGCTTTTTCCTTTAATTCATCTTTAGCATTTGAGCTGCAGTTTTACTCTTGTAGGTTTGGGGAGTTGCCGACTTAGCCTCATAGTGGTTTTAGGCAGGTTTTGAGACGTGCTGCTCTTCTGTTCTACAAATGCAGTCTGAGGCACTGAGGTCATTGGGTAAAGAAACTCCTCCCTAAGAACCCTAAAAAAGTACAGGACGCTGCTGTAAGGTAGAAGATTCCTTTATTTTTCTTTAAGAAGGTAGCAGATGGGGGGGCTGGGGGAATCTTATTTACACCAAGGAAATGGGGGTTATGGTCTTCTATGGCCATAAAATACTTGTACTGTAGTTGCACTGTGGGTTTGTGTTGTGCTGAGATTGGACACAATGTCATGGTACAAACTTGAGAACATACCGCAAGAACACACAGTGTGTGACTTGCCTCTGTAACCTAACTGAACCTTTTCAGGGTTGAGTGCCCCAGGTTTAGTGTTCTGCAAATAGTGGCTGTGTGAGTTTTTGTCATGAGAGTGTGCGTGCTTCAGGACATATCCAGGCAATCATCTTTTGGCATGTTTGCTGGTTATTTCTGTGTCTGCTTCCTGTGCTTAATTTCAGAATTCATGACTGTCTGGCGGGGGAGTAGGGGTTGGAATACTTCTGTGTGGTTCCAGTTTTTATAATTGATACTTAGTTCTGATGGCTGTGAATTAATTTTGTAATAGTCTGTCCAATAGCAAATCTTGCTTTTCTTAGTTAAGAATTCCTAGCTGAAATATTTTGGCTGTATATTTTGATATTGCTCACACATGTTATTTGAATGCATACTGAAGGAAATTAAGCTTTTAAAATTGCAGAGCATCACTGTTCCTTCCTGATATAACACATTTGAACACAATGGCCAATTTTTACTAGATCTTTGTGGAAAAGCAACACACTTTGACATAGCTGCAGCTGTTCCTAGAGCTTTGTGAGGACAGGGAGGCTGTTCATGGCCCTTATTTGGGCACTGTACAGCAAGGGAGGCTTTTCTATCAGGGGAAGAAAGGAAAAATTCACAGTGAGTCAGGTCAGACATGGTAACAGGTTTGGCCAAGAAGTGGTATGACTCCATCCTTGAAAGCAAGTTTGCAAGGGAGTTGTTTCAGCAAGTAGTTGGGGCTTTTATTCTTCTTTTTGTTGTCTGATAGAATGATGAAAATGTGTCAGTCCAGGACAGCCCACTCTCAGTTCCGTCAAGTCCAGAACCACATGAACCTGAGTCAACTTTTAAGGTAAGTGACACTGATTTACTCAACAGAATAAGAAATACAAACCTGTTTGTGTTTAAAAAATGCAAACCAAAAGCTTCTGTGTAACTGAAGTAGTGCTTCTTGCGTCTCTCATCTATTTAAATGCAAACCTAGCAAGTGTTTATATACTTCATTTTTTCATTTTTGTTAAAATGGAAGGGTTTATTTTACCTTTTAAAATACATACTTACAAATGGTAGTACAGTTTAAATAATCAAAATAACTTTGCCTTTTGGTATTTGTAGCAGTCATGTGAGAATTAGCAGCTGTAGAGTAGCTTCTTTATAAAATTGTCTGCCTGCTTGAGAAGTGTTAGAATTTGAAAAGACAATTTTTGCTTTGAAGCATAATCATACTATATGTATTCAATTACTTGCTCTGTTTCATTACATTTACTGTTGACTCCAGTTTAAAATATCTTTCATTTAAAGTAAGTTTTTTCCCTGAGTTAATACAGGTATTGCAGATTTAACTTAAAAACAACGTGAGCCCCACAAAGGAAAGATGTGTTTATTGTTTTACAATGGGTGTTAAAGGAAGAAGCAAACACAGTGGATATTCCAAAAAGGATCACCTTTTGGGTCATAGACTTGCAATGTTGTACTTTCTACAGTGGCAAAGTTTTATAGCATTGTTTGCTGAACACTCTTCTTGTAAAATCAGGAGAGAAAGATCACTTGTCTTGCCCTTTCAGGAAGGAAACAATACTCGATGAAGATATAATGAAACTAGAAATACTTCTTGAAAGGCAAGGACACTTACAATCTTACTCCTTTTCAAAGGTCGTCTTTCCAAATCCTGGTTTCAGGGTTTAAGAGGTTTGCCAAAGCCGTAGATCCATATACGTCATCCTTCAGGAACCCTGGTTTCTACATTGTTAACATTGAGGCCTTCTTTTCTCTATATTTGTTGTCTGATGCATTTGTTCAGCTTGTCCTTCTGCAGTCACCTCCCTCAAAATCTTAAATCTTAGTCTTAATTCCTAGAGGAAAAAGTGTTGCTTTTTTACCTCTCTTTTTGCTATGAATTTAAGTTTAACTGATGTTTTTAATTGTCACTTATTTAATTGATACTGGCATATGGTTTGAAAAATTGCACAGCAAATCAGCTGGGGTGTTGTCCTAAAGCAGTAACTAATAATATCTTCAGTGAAACTGAAATAATAGATGTGTGCTACTAAATGTAAGTACACCCCTTAATTTATGGCCTAGATATAATGGCACAGGTATAAAATACATTAAAATTACATTAAAATTACCTTGTGATGAGAAATTATTAAAAAAAAAAATCACTCGCGTAATTACCAATTCTTTTTAGTCTCTGAACTTTGCATAATTATTTTAACTCTTCAGTTTTTAGTGGGATGTATTCAAATCAGTTGTGCTGTTTGCATTCAGTAAACATAGTTATGCTTATGTTTCTAAATAATTTTTCTTGTTTCTATCACTTTATGTCAACGTTTTTTAAATAGCAGCTCACTTTAACCTTTGAGCTTCAGTATTTTCTGTTGCTGGATAAAGAGGAGTGTAGTTAGTGTTTGATGGCTGAGGATCTCCGTGTTGTCAGTTGCTTGTGCAACAGATGAACTACTGCATCAAAAATGCAGCAGATTTACTTGACATAGTCTGAAAATCATAGAATCATAGAATGGCTTGGGTTGAAAAGGACCTTAAAGATCATCTAGTTTCAACCCCCCTGCTGTGGGCAGGGTTGCCAACCACTAGAGCAGGCTGCCCAGGGCCCCATCCAACCTGGCCTTGAATGCCTCCAGGGATGCTGCATCCACAACTTCTCTTGACAATGTAGTGGGTCAGCTCAACTCTGCCTCTTAGAGAGTCTTCTAGTCAAGTTTTTTCACTCTTTAGGCTGTATGTCTACAGCCCATCTCACGGTGTGAGTAAGAGATGGAAAGCATGTGCTACTGTTACTGCCAGTCCTCCATGAAAATCTGATGTAATACGTCCTGCAGAGGTGTTGATTTAATTGTGTAGCTCTTGCAGAAAACTTCTTATTGCCCACTGTTCTATTGCAGATGGATGATCTGCTGAATGAGATCAGGCAACTTAAAGATGAACTGAAGAAAAAGGATGAAACAATCAACCAGTTAGAGCATCAACTTGTGAGTGTGATACTAAACGTTTAAAAAAATCCTAAGTGTGCACTGCAGAGTGTAACTTCAGTAGGTAATTCTTATGAAGGCTTTAAGAGGGCTAGATGTCTAATTTTTTTCCTGCACTTTAATTTATAACAAAGGTAGATTTGGGTTCTATTTAGACCCACCTGACTCATGGGTCTGTACAGGTTCAGTTAGCAGACATATTCTACATGGTCTAGTGTGTTTGCAGTTCTACACCTGGGATCTTTAATTCTGTAGACCAGTCATGATTACTATGTGTGGCACTAAGTAAGGATGTTTATAGATTCTTAAATATATTTCATTTCCAAAACAAACACTTTGAATGTAATTCTAGAAGCTGTTCAGAAATAACAATGAGCAAAGGTAAAGTACTTTATGCTTAAAGTATTTTAAAAATTAACAGGTATTGACCCTATCAATCTGCTTGAAGTGTTTTGCTTTTTTTCTGTCTCCTTTCCCCTACTGTCCATTAGTTTAATAAGGAATTTTACCATTGAATTTAAAGCCGAGCAAGGCAGTATTCAAAGTTGATTCTTTTTAATAAAACAAAACAAAAAAAAACAAAGCATGTTGAATAGTAAGATTAAATTGGCCAAATAAATAAAAGTTACGGGGGAACTTTAATCATAAATCAGGTTAGGCGGACACAAGTCCTCAAGTAAAAGTGGCAAATGCCTTTTTGCTTTTTGCTCTTGTTCTATGTTAACTTTGGATTTTGCCACGCATATTGCTGTATTTGGTTCTAGTAAGTTTATCTGTTGTGACAATTCTTACAAAATAGCCCCATGTTTTCAAGCTATTTTAAGCCACAGCAAGATCTTAAAGGTAGGGTAGATGAGATACCAAGAGGTGGACACCATATTTATTTATCATGGCTGGAGACAGTCTTGTGTGACTATAATATCTGATGAAACATTTAGCATGTGCTTTTGTACATACATGCACTGAAACTGACCTTTGGTCTTCATCCTCTCCCTGTCTAGCATGCGATAATTCACTTTAAAGCAAAAATGACGGGTTAAACTTTGACTTTCTGCTCTACTACTTAAACAACAGAATTCTAGATCACAGCATACCAAAACAAATTGTCTTGTCTATTAGTATTTCGCAATAAGTGTTGATTTTTTGAGTACACTTAGTCTCACTCTTACCATTGGCCTTCAAAGATTTCTTCAAGGAAATATCTCCTTCCCTGATAGCTCATGTACCTGGTTACTGTAGTAACTGAAAACTTTGTTGCGGCTAAGGAACTCTGCTGTAAAGATGGGTAAAACTTATATTTGTAATTATTGAAAGGTGACTTCAAGAATGTGGTGATTCAGAAAGCTAAGTGAATCAAAAAACCTTTCCAAAAGTTAACATTTATTCTAGATTATTTCTAAATATATTTTGGGAAAAGAAGCAGTTGTGCAGCACTGTAAATACTGATTTCTACAGTTTAATTATATTGTGCTATACTGTCAAGTAATGCATGATATTTGAACACTGGGCCTTGACTGTGCTTTTCAAGAACATTAGTTATTTGCTAACAAATTCTCCTTTCTTCTTCTCTTTGCGGGGATGATTAAGGCCACTAGATGTAATTGCCGGAAAGACAGCCAAAAACCTATAGGGACGGTGGGCGCATATGTTGATAAATTTACGCAAACCTCCTGGAGGAGGAGTACTGTGAGTAAAACATGCCGTTCCTTCTCAGTTATGACTCTCTGCATTTCATTCACTAGTTCTATTGCTTTAGCTGTGACACAAGTTGGCCTTCTTTAAGAGTTTCTGTGCTCTGTATGTGAGTGGTGTCCTTCTGTTGTGCATCCCTTATATTCTTTTGCAACCCTTTTATTTAAGCATTTATTACAAACATTTCCTTTAAAATAAGTAATTAAACTTTAGAAGCCTCTTCTTAAAATAATCACCCTTTTCACTATTTAAGTTACAGTCAGTCCAAACTGTGTGTCTAATCATCCATAAGATTTCCCTATATCCTGACTTTAAAGTCATATATATCTGTATCTAGTTTTTTTCCTGGTTAAGGTTTTGTTGTTGATGTTCTCATATTTGTTGAGAAAAGCAACAGTGTATTCTAAATTTCAGTCCATATGTATAAAAACTAAAGTTAATCTTTTTTATTAGAAAACATTTTTATTTTTTATCATTTATTTGAAGGACTTGACTTATTTTCAAAAAATTATTGTATGAAAATCACTTTGACAAAGAACATCTTAATTTCCATATCTTGTTGCATGAATCACATTTGCTTCCATTATATAAAACTTACATTCTTCTTTGCATACTAATAGTATACTTAAGATGGGAGAAGGACAACACATTTGATATTTGATATTAATAAGAAATTACCTTTGAATGATAAACAAGGTTTTTGTCAGTCACCAGCAAATAGTCTGTGGATCTTGAAGCTACTGGTCTAGCTAGAGAATGCTAATAGATTTTTTTAAAAGGTTAAAAATGGGTTAGATTTTTTGTTTTTGTTTTTACCTTGCTGTGAGTTATTTGATGTAAGACAGTAGTAAAGATAAATCACCCCTGCTCTCCTAAAATTACTCTTTTAAATATATAGTGCTAGAAGTACCACTGCACTGTATGTTAACCATTTGCTAGCAAACAGCTTTATCCTGTTCACGCCATGCTTTCCAACTGTCTTCTGTCTGACGAAAACCCAATATAAAAAGATCATAACCTTAAGTAGCTTTTAGTTTGCTAGACACCTCTGTTCTAGAAAGTATGTGTCGTGTCTTTGTTTATCCCATTTGTTTCTCTTTTCCTGTTACTTTAGAGCTTTTGAGCTCTTTTATTGTTTATTTTTCCCAAGTTTTAATTTCTTATCTGTGATGTTAATTTGATATTTTTCTGTGTTGATACTAGTACTAGGTTAGTGGCTATAATTGTTTCCATGTTTCTTTTTTTTTTCCTGTCATTTTCCACACAAATTCAGAAGCAGATTAGTGACTACTGAGTGTTAGTCGCTAAATACAAAAGCTTTAGTTTGAGCAACCTGTGGTATTCATTGATATGACAAAGGTACTGGGGAAGATGAGGAATGAGCTGATATCTCAGGTAAAAGTAGTAATTGAGCCCAGTTGTCTGTTTTGGTCAGGTTGAAGTATATTTCTTCTAAGTTATTCAGTAGTTTTGTTTGAAAATACACCTTTTTTTTTTTTTTTTTTTTTTTTGTCATGAGGAAAATTGGGTTAAGGGAGAATATAATTTTTTAAAAAAAGTAAAAGGATCTGCTGTATTCATAGAATCATAGCATGGGTAGGGTTGGAAAGGACCTTGAGGATTATCAAGTTACAACCCCCCTGCCATGGGCAGAGACACCCTCCACTAGACCAGGTTACTCAAAGCCTCAAAAACAGCTCTGTCGTTGGGTGTGTGTCTGTATGTGGATATTTGTTTACATATGCATATGTATAATACACATACGTGTGTGTGTGTAGGCATAGACTCATTAGATGTGCATTATAAACATCTCAATATTTTTATCTTTGCATGTAAAGTTTCTCATTAAAATTGATAAAGGAATTAGGAAAATTCATGATGTATTGACAAATTTTCAAAATACACTGCTTTACAGGAACAGTTATTTGTAAATGGTAGCTGAAGAGTTTTGTGCAGGATGGTTTTTTGAATGTCTTTTCCTTTGCATATTTATTACTTATATGGAGGCTTTCTGTAAGCAAACAGAAATTGATATGAGCTCCTTAATGTGGGATTTCTTAAAGGGGGATAGTGTTGTAGCTGAGTTCCAGTTCTAATGGGCAGCCCTCAACTTGCTCATTTAATAGTTCTTTTGCTAAGCATTTATATGTTTCCTTGCATGGCTTAATAGAAGTATAAATGTAGCAAAAGCCTTGGCATGAAGTCATTGTTGATCTGAAACCCAATGACATAAAATGTCACTTTCAATAGAAAGGGGAGAAAATTGGCTCTTTTCTTGATGTAGAAGTATGATAAATGGAAATAGCAGGAGACACCTGAGTAAAGTCTATTCTTGCTAAAGAAAAAAAAAAGGGCCTTAAAGTAAACAATTGTTTTGCCTTATTAATGTTCCTGTTCAATTTAATATAATGGTCTTGAACTGAGAGCACAGACTGGGAGAAATCAGATTTATCAGTCCTAAACATGGTATGAGTAATGAAATGTAGTTAATGTTTATGAAATTATGAAGTTATTATATAAGCAGCATTTTAAAAAAACCAAATTATAATTGAAATCTTGGCAATGAGAGTACAACTCCTTTGAGGCGTGGAAGTTTTTTGCTTCTTTAAGCTTGTTAATAGTTATCAGAGTTGATGAATACTTAACTGTTTCATTTTTTTCCTGTAAGTGTTGAGCTGTCAGTCACTTTAAATGGTGGTGAAGTTACTGTAGTTAGATTATAATAACTTTCAAGATTATTCTGACAGTTGACAAACTCTAGCTGAACCCATACTGTGTGATTCCTGAAGTATAAATAGCAGTCTAGGAACACACTTAGAGTAATTTACTGTTTCAAGAAATATTTTAAATGCTTCCAGAAATGTGCTTAACAAACATTGTTAATGTAGTGTTTCATAAAGAATAGATGTTAGGAGAAACAAGGAAATAGAGTGGAAATTGGCTAGTAAAAGATTTCATTTAGGAATTTAGGATAATATGAATTGCAGTAATTTATTGCAGTTCTACTGTCCATTTGAAACAGCTAGTATTTCTGATCACTTCATTGTTCTCCCAGTAGGCAGGCAAATGAATATCACTAAACATACTCTTTTTAGAAAGTCATGTTCTTATTTGTTCTTTCTTATTACCAGATATTTCTAGAAAATGCACATCCTGATGTGATTAGCACTTGTTTGGGGTTATTTGCTTTAGGGACCACATAGTTTTTGAAAACACCTTTAGGGTTTTCTCCTATTTAAAGGTGAATATGTACATAAATGGAAGCTATGTAACCTTAGATTAATCCTTGGAAATCAGTACTCCATGTAGTAAAACCGAGTAGCTGGAACTAAGTGTTTTGAAAATTGGGCATATTAAGAATTAACGTGTTGCCTAGTCACTGTCTGCTACATGTTTCTTGTAAGCAGTGTCCTGACAGTATGCTCAAAACTACATTATTTAATTTGACTGTTTGTATTGTCAATGATAACTTGGAAACATTATTTATAGTTAGCCATCCTCTGGATAAACACTTGTACAAATGTTTACTGGCAGGGTAGACCATGACATTTCTAGAAGGATTTCCCAAAGATCTCTTATAGTGATTTCACTTCCAGTGAAGAAAATTCCACTTCCATGGAAGAAAAAGAAAAAGAAATAAAAAAAAAAAAAGGGAAAAAAAAAAAAAAGGAAAAAAAAAAAAAAGAAAAAAAAAAAAAAAAAAAAAAAAGGAAAAAAAAAAAAAGGAAAAAAAAAAAAAGAAAAAAAAAAAAAGAAAAAAATAATAAAACCCCAAAAGCCAAAAAAACCAAAACCTGGAAGAAGTTATTGAACATAAAATTACCTGAAGAAATTAATGTTGATGGACAGAGCTTATCAAGAAGAAAAATGTGAGCATCCATTGCCACAATTGTCTCACAGGCTTTGCAACATTGTTTCTGTATTACTAAATACTGACTTTTAAAAAAGATTTTGAAGGTAAAAGGGTCAGATGTTGAGTTTATGTTGACAAATTATTTTGCTTCTCAGACTGGAATGGTTGTTTGCAGATGCTGATAGGGAAAAGACAAGCAAGCAAACTGCAAAGCCTGGGTGTGGATGAAGATGTCTGTAAAGGATTCTGGCCCTTGAGGTCCAGTTCCTTAGCATGACACAACTCCTCCTATGTCATTGGTGCTCTTCCATGCCCTGCAACATTAGACAGTGTACAGTAAAATCCAATTTTTCTTGGTCTTGGAGTAGTGCACAGTGATGAGAATAAGTTTTGCTTCCTAAATGTGTGTACAAATTCATTCTTATCTCTAGTAAAATGACAAAAAAAATTTGGGTTGCCTGGGACTATCTGTATGATTCTTTGCTACGTTTCTTCTCTTCTGTGCTGAGATATATTCTTTGCCTTCCATTTGAGTATTGTTCCAGTTTGTCATTCCAAAGCCTTTCACATCCATTGTTTTGATGAACGTTCAGCTGCAGCTTTGTGTACTGCTGTCTATAACTTCTTCCACCTTAGCCTTAAAGTTTCTATATTCTATATTTCTTTGACTCTGCAACTATGAATTTAAACTTCCAGGTTTTGAAGCCTAGTCGTTATATTAGTGTTTACATTCATCCCAGGTTTCTCTAGTTTTCCAGTACTGTCCTGTTCACTTGCTGATCCATTATAATGTATGTCCTTGGTGAGAAGGTACCATGGCTGGACTAGATAGTCATGTTGTGCATGTTTCTTGCTCTGTTACAGTAACAGTGCATAACATGTAGGCGCATGCGCAGCAGAGGTCTTTTAAACCTTTCACAGGCAGTTATTGTTGGTTTAATGTAAACCAGCACATAAGATGGGGTTGGGGTTTTCTTGACCTGAATACTTTCGAAAACACTGTTGCATGTCAGAACTGCTCATTCATAATCTCTTTCTGGGTGCTAGGCTAGAAGAGGAGACTGCTGTAAAAACGTTTTATTTGCATTGATGCTTGAACTATGTCATTGTAGGTTTGTTCATGGTGTGGAGCTCAGAGTTT